CTATAATTGTGACAGTCAGTCCCATTATTCGGTTAAGAGTAGCCGCATAGGCGGTGGATGCTGCTGAATGTTGGTCCTTCATCTGGTTAGCAGTTATACATTAGAGATGGCTATGATTGAACCCTACTGGTCAGTGGTCTGGCCGATACGCTAACTACTTGGACACGATCAGTCCCTCAAACAGTTACTATTGATACAAAAAAAACCGGACAAATAAACGCCTATGTATTCACGTTTATAATAATTTTTAACGTATTTCGCTTGTAAATATGTAACTGTCTCTACTCATACCTAGTTTATTCAACCGTAATTAGGTTTGACATTCTTTCCTTACATCGAGTGCATATATTTTTAATGAAGAATCTTGCTTGATGTCGTAATTTAATTTTTCAAACAAAGTTGCCTTTAAAATTTATGAACCGTATAATCAAAACAAACATGTGATTTATTTGCCACTATTACTACGGTGAAAATAAAACTGTCGAAAGTTATGGAAACTAACGCAAAGAGGTTTTCCCCGCATTGCATCGACTGCACATTTTGACACACCATAAGTAAGTGGATGATGTCATGACACCAAGAGGTTTTCCCCGCATTGCATCGACTGCACATTTTGACACACCATTGATAAGTGGATGTTGTCATGACACCAAGAGGTTTTCCCCGCATTGCATCGACTGCACATTTTGACACAGCGGATGTTGTCATGACAATTTATGTTATCTTTTCTATGAAAGTTTAAGATTTGAACTCGAGTTTCATGGATTAAAAGTGTTTTTTTTTTCGGATTAAGTGATTTACTATGCTGTTTCGTTTCTTCGTTTCCGTGTTCTCAGTGCTTCTTCCCCACCGATCAGAACTTGGGTGATTCGCGCTAAGTAAAACTTATATCTGAGCGAATTACATTAGACACTTCTGGAAGGCTAACTTACAAATAACAGATACTCGAGGCTCTCCGGTTTTACCAGACAGCGTCGGATTCTTTTCATCTTTATAATCAGCTTTAGAACTTTACTAAAACACAAACAACTTAAAACTAAACTAATAACCTCTGGAAAAATATAGTGTTATAAGAATCTCAAGAAATATAGCAGTATCAATCACATGATTTTACAAACCAAGAATGTGACATCAACACAAAATATAAATCAGTATCAACCACGTGATTTTACAAACCGAAGTTGTGACATCAACACAAAATATAAAACAATATCAACCACGTGATTTTACAAACCAAAGTTGTGAAATCAACACTAAATATAAAACAGTATCAATCACATGATTTTACAAACCAAGGATGTGACATCAACACAAAACATAAAACAATATCAACCATGTGATTTTACAAACCAAGGATGTGACATCAGCACAAAATATAAAACAATATCAACCACGTGATTTTACAAACCAAGGTTGTGACATCAACACAAAACATAAGACAATATCAACCACTTGATTTCACAAATCAAGGTTGTGACATCAACACAAAACATAAAATATATTGTTGGAATGTATTTTTGATCTGGTTTTTTTGGTAACGTTTGGAAACAATAGAAACAAAACGTAATATTTTTTATTTATTACTTAATATCAGCCAAAGCATATGTTGTGATTCACGAAAAACCAGGTGATGTCAGTTTCAACAAAGATAACATGTACTTTTACAGTTTTGTTTTATTATGTTTTTAGTAAAATAGACTCCAAATGTTACCTGTTCGAATAATGAATCTGTTGTCAGGGTCATAGGTCAGTATGAATTAATTGTTGAACTACCTTGAAAAGAATCGGGATTTTCATCCCTCTCTCTCCCTCTCTCTCTCTCTATATATATATATATATATATATGATTTTTCCACACCAAACAAAAACCGTCATTAGTGCCGAACAGTCCGGAATATGAATTCAGAAATATATATATAGGCCCTGAACATAGCATGATGTAGAAGCATATATGGGCCCTGAACACGGTATATCTCAATAAAAGTACATGAAGATGCTGAGTACAACATGATTTTTAAGAATGCATTTGAGCCATAAGCCTAACATGGCTTAAAACAAGCATATTGATCCTCAGTTTACAAATCGTTTAGCACATTTGTTGAATCAGTACAGATCCTACAGGTGTCACTAGTGTATAACGAATACCGAACAGAAGTAGTATCGCTTTTGCTAAATCTCGAACGTTCCTTCTTCTTCTCTTTGTGCAATGAAACGTCATTGGTTCAGGAGGAATTATGGTACCGCAACGTTGAATCACGAGCCACTCAGTAAGTGAAACGGAAACTTTAAAAGTTTCGGACGGTTTCTGATAGCAAAACAGAAACTGGATCACTTTTCTGTAATCCTGGCGATAAAATGGAAACTACCTGTTTTGGACAATTACTTGGGTGAACTTAGAAATGGTCCTAAATGTATGGGTGAAACGTTACTAAATGTGTGGAACGTGTATTCTAAAAGTGCTCACACTGCCATCTATCTTGATTTAGTAAACTTTCTAATATTCAACAAGAAAACTCGCCAGTTGCGTCATAACAAATTTAAAGAAAAATATAAATACACTAGCAAACCCCTTAAGTAAATCATACCGCCTGCAAAAATAAATCTTATTAAATTTGAAAACTTTCTATATTCAACATCAGATGGCGTTCCAACGAACATCTAGATACAGTTATATATATATGTGTATATTTAAATGTCAGACAAATACAAAATGATAAAACCCCATAACCCGAGCGCTTTAGAAAGGTTATAAGGTTTTTATCATCTTATATATATTTAGATTTATTGTTTCTTGTTTTAATTATGGCATACGTGTAAATGGCCTTTATTTATTAAATCCCAAATCCTCGACACTTAGGACTACTCGCTAAATCTTGTAAAATCAATATATTTTTGCGATAGAAAAATAACGACACGATTGATGGAAAGTCCATAATTTGTTTTAACCTGTACATTTTACTCGCGAGCTCATCAGCGAGTGCAACAGCGAAACAGGAGAGTTGCTGGAAAGAAGAGGACACTCATCTCCAACTGTGGTGCAGAAAAGGCCCTGAGGTTGGAGCAGTGGCATTGTTGACCAGGCTCAAGTAAGAAGAACCTTGACAATGATGATGTTGTTGCCCACACATAAACATAACCTGATTATTTTTCACCTGTCGCTCCGCCTCATATTCCTCTGCTGTCTGTCTCCTGGAAGAAAAAGTGCGCTTGATTTGAGGTATTTCCCAAACTATACGGTTTGTATAATATTGTGTTGGGGGGGGTGGTTGTGTAAATTAGACTTAAATTTTCTGTATATTAAATACTCTTCAAATTACAAAACTCAGAACAGATGTTAGTAAATGATCGAATATCGAAGTTAAAGAAATTCAATCAGTACCCTTCGTCTTAGGACTAAAACACTAAGAAAAGACATATATAAAAATATATCATTCTAAAAAGCATATTTTTTCAATTTTTTGCTATCTAAGAAAAAAAGTTACTTAATAGTAAATCAAATCAAATAAAAATAACCATGAAAAAGTAACACGTCTAAATAATAACAATTGCATTGGGAAAGCAGGTAATTTTCAAACTTTTATTTGAAATTAAAACAGTTCTATTTGACTGTTTATTAGAATGTTTTTACGAGAAAAAAAATGAGATCAAAATATACATAACTTTATAAAGTAAACTATTTTGATTGTGAAAAATTCTAATTACTTTTACTATTGAATTAATCTCAACCATTTATCAAATGAATTTTGAGAAATGCGTTTAAAATAAAAAGTACTTGATATGCTTACTAGAGGGCAGCACAGTATAAGTTTGTCTAGATTGAACAAGTATACTCTTAGAACTAATAAAACCAATCATTAAGCAGCAAATAATGTCGTATAAAATCTACCGAAACGATATTCGTTGATGTAGTAATATAGATTTTATTCATGTTTGATATTTTAACGTCATTTTATCACATTTTTACGAATAATTCAATAACAAGATCATAAGACTTAAACCTAACCTCCACTTGGTCCTTCTATTTTGGAACCACGTTTTAACTTGAGTGTCTGTCATTTTCAACTGTTTAGCTAGGCAACTTCTCTCACTAGATGCTAAATACTTATGTTTCTGAAACCATTTCTCAAGTTCACAGATCTGCAGACGAGTAAAGGAAGTGCGAGGCTTTTTCCGTTTTGGAGGTGTTCTACTTTTGTAGGGATGACCGATTCTCCGGACAAAATGTGATGCTATGGAAAAAATTAAATAAATAAAAGAAACCAATGGGAAAAAATCTTTTAAATGGTTTAAATAATAAAATAAAAATATTTATTCTTTTTATTTTATTCTTCAGACTAAGTATCACTGTTTAATAAATGTTGCTTTTGTTTTTCTTTTTTTTATCTGAGAAGCTGACATATTAACCAAAAAATGCATATATACTTATTAAACTCGCTAATATTTAAAAGTAATTCCCACAACTCCGATTAAACAGACGAGATGTTACTTTTGGAACTTGCGATATCAAATGATGGTAGAACTACAGTTACTGCTAGAACTAAGTAGGCGCTAGGCCTATTGAAGAAAGATGGCAATGACAGAAATTAAGAAATCTCGGTTTTTGGCTATTTACCGGTTTTCGACTTCAGGACGCTCTGGATAGCTGAAAAGCGGCATATGCAGCGGAGTTAGAATGACTATGCCAGGTAGCTCTTCATATCTAGCTTCTGATGATTTTTATGTGTATTTATTTATTTTTACTCCTTGAATTATTTGGGATTTACAGGCTATGGTAAACGAATAGTGTTTAAAAAAATCGAATTAATTACTTCTAGGCTTAGCATTCTCGCTATAACAAGTCACGCGCTCGAATTTTAGCAATATACAAGTTTAGTCTTAACACTTAAATTACTGATTTGTTTTATACTTTTTACTATAGGATTCCATGTTATTAGTATACCCAAGTGAAAAAAAATCAGATATGCTAATTTCCACGTGAAAAATTTGACATGAACAGTGAGTATTAAGGTATTGTTGCGCGTTTCATTAATTTCTGAATAAATTTTTGTGTATTTGTTTATTTCAGATCTTTGGACAAAACTACACAAAGACTATGTGTGTTTAGCCGTCCCTTTAGTTTTGAAGTGAACAGCATGATTATCACACTAATACTGTGGATACGAGGGTTCGTGGTTTGTAAATCGCTGTCACAAACAAAGCGCGCTCCGCACTTTGTAAAATACACCACAAGAATGATGGTTTTATTACTTATTCGGTCACACAAGGTAGCCCAAGAGTTGGCGGTGGATACTGTTGAATAGCTGATTTCCCTCTACTCTGTCACTTACAAATTAGAGACGACTATGCACAGCCTATTGGTGGCTCAACGGTAAGTCTGAGGGCTTATAATGCTAAAAATTGGGTTTAGATACCCACAATGAGCAGAGTAAAGATAGCTCATTGTGTAGCTTTGTACTTAGCCACAAACAAACAAATAAAGCTATTCTCAGATAACTCCCTTGTGTAGCTTTTCTTAAACAAAGAAACTGACGACGCTGTGGGTAACCTTTTCCATTTATTGTAGCTTGTCCATCTGCTGCAGGACAGGACCCAGGAAAGCGTCATGCGCGTTGAATTATTTGGGATTTACAGGCTTTGTAATCTGGGTGCGTTATAAGTGTGACAGTCAGTACATTAGCGTGGATGTTATTCCTCGTTTGAAAAAAAAAGTTAACAGCATATGAGAAGCGACGAGGATGCTCTAGTGAATCCGAGAATACATGGCTCGTCCCCCGTTGCCGCAAAAATACGCTCCACAATATGGGGCTGTGGGTGTGGTATAAGAGTGACGATCTATTGATGGGGAGTTTTGCTGACTACCTTTTTTCTAGTCTATCATTTCAAACTAGTGCGCACATAACCATTTTGTAACATTGTACAATATCTTAAAGTAAGACTTCAAGAGTTAAAACTCTTCAGTGGTTTAATTTAACTAAAACGCAGAAACACTGTACAATATCCTAAAGTAAGACTTCAAGAGTTAAAACTCTCCAGTGGTTTAATTTAACTAAAACGCAGAAACACTGTACAATATCCTAAAGTAAGACTTCAAGAGATAAAACTCTCCGGTGGTTTAATTTAACTAAAACACAGAAACACTGTACAATATCTTAAAGTAAGACTTCAAGAGTTAAAACTCTTCAGTGATTTAATTTAACTAAAACGCAGAAACACTGTACAATATCTTAAAGTAAG